AAGGACATAGAACATGCGCGCTTCAAATCGATGAACCATTAACGCCAGCAAATTACAGCATTGAGATTTTTATCAGTCCAACAACTTCGCCGAAAGTTATCGACGTGCTTCTTCCAATCAGACCTATCAGGACTCCTTCGTTCGAAACAGCCGAGGCACTTCCGATACAGTGTCAACATAGCAAGAAAAAGACAAATTCACGACAGTTCCCTTTCAATTAAGCAAAATAAGATGAATGAGGCTCAGTCAGTGTTCTCGAAAATCCATAAAACAGACTAAGTTTATGAAAAATTTATTTGATTCACCCCTCCACAGAATATGGAAAAACTTGCCCTCTCTGTATTGCGCATTCGTACCACAGCTACTTCACCAAACGCACCACGACCGATCACTTTGAGGACTTCGAAATCCTCGCGGCATAGTCGTAATGCTTTCGCTTTCACCACTACTGGCTTTACTAAAGCAAACATCTTTTAATTCTGAAACAAACCAACGGCAGCTGAATGACCGAATTTACTTTTTTAGCTAAAAGCGATCCATAACTTGTCGTTAACGAAAACATGCCTTACCGTTATATTTTATTAAGATATTTTACAACTTTTACTAATTTCTTAATATTATATGATTTTGTCTTCTTCCACTTTTAAAATATTTTCCTATCAGCTAATTTAAAACAGTTCTTAGCTATCTCAATTTGAAAAAAGGGAATGAAAATATTCAGTACAAAAAAAAGTGTGAAGCTGGTCGTCCCACACAAGCAATTCAGTGTCGATGCTGTCACCGACTACGACTTTTTCTCTCCCCATGAATCCGTAAAAGCAACCCTTTTCAAGCTCGACAAATTTATGTACTACGTCTAGAAGTGAAGTAATTATTTTTGTGCTAGACTGTGTGCAAAATATACCGCCAACTGGGAAGGCTTATCTCAGCTGGGAGGAATAATAAAGAAAGCACACGGGGTTTGTGTTCGGTTAGCGCCTTTCTATCTGAAAAAAGAAAATCAATGGCGACGCGCACTGGGCGAGCCCGTGCGATCATGCATTTTTGCAGTGTTTCGTGCTGCAATAAGATCACTTGAAATCCCGCTAGCTAGAAGCCTCTGACATACTGGTTCTCGGATTTCGGGAAGTTAATTGTCCACGCTATACTTGCTCAGGGAACATTCCCTTGAAATCCCAGGTTCCCAGTTTTCTCACCTCCTGAGTTACCCAAATTCCAGCCAGAAAATTTCACGGGGCCGTAAGTGGCAACCACATATAAGGGAGGGGAGGGGGGGGGATGAGTTTGATAAATTTGAGTTGTAAATGAACTGGGAACATTCGCTGAAAGTGTCAGCCCCCCAGCTTTCTTGGTTCCCGAACTAGCGATTTTCGCGCCAGGAATCCTCACGAGGCCGTATGCGGGAAACGCGCACACCTGGGGGCTGAATTTAAAATCTTTGAGTTCTATACGGATGGGGAACATAATCCCAAAATTTCAGCTATCTAGCTTTTCTGGTTCCCAAGTTAGCGATTTTGCCACCAAAACTTTAAGGCGCTCGTACATGGGGCCTAGATGTGCGTGAGGGTTGGTGCCGCGCCCCTGGAGTGGCACTTGGCCGGGGAACCCACTCGCAAAATTTTGGCGCCGGAGCTTGCTTGGGTGCCGAGTTGAAGTACCCGGACAGACACACACACACCGGGGTTCTTCGCAGTATGCGTTTTCGCATTTGCATATATGCAAAAACGCATAAAAACCTAACCATATTCTACAAAATCGGCGATGTTTTTCTCCTTGCGTAGCGTCGAGCTGCAGCACTCATCGAAAAGACAGATGAGGGTATCCAATAGCGCCTCAAATGAGAAGACACCTTCAGCACGCGAGGCATTCAGGTAACAGTGCTCCAACTGTTTCAACCGTGCTGAGCCGGCTTCTCGAAGAGACATCGTTCGCTTATCACTCCACTCCTTCTGACACTAAAACTAATACTGTTTGTCAGCAAATCGCCATTTCGCAAAAGCCAAGCTTTAATTGAATTCATCTGTTAAGCTGCTGCTGCTACTGCTACTGTTACTCCTGCTACTGCTGCTGCTGCCGCTGCTGCTGCTGCCGCTGCTGCTGCTGCTGCTGCTGCTGCTGCTGCTGCTGCTGCTGCTGCTGCT